CGCGCTGCAGAGCCTCCCACAAACAGAAATGCCTCATAACCATAAAGATTTAATGCTGAAATTACTGCCTTTCAGGCCCCATAACACGGGTTTGCAGGTCTTAAAAACAAAGTGGACAGGTGATGCGCTCACTGATGACTAATTATAAGATACGCGAATCCAATTTTCTCAAAAACAAAGTAAAACAACTTTCCTTTGTGTAAGTGGAATGACACAGGCGATAAGTGACACTTGCGATACAGATTAACAGCTAAATAAGTTACTATTTATTGCATAAACCTCCCTGTGCTCTCAAAACTATACTAGTTTATCCGTTTTCGAGACCCCGGCCCTTTTGGCACAAACTAAATGTCCAGCACTACCATACATGTCGTTCCGCACGACCACCTTGACTGCCAGACGACAAAGCCCCTAGCCACCAACAACCTGCGTGACAAGAACATAAACAGGTCATTTAGCCCCCAGAGGTCAGCAATAACTTTGAGATAGAGTTTGATGCCTACTTATGAAGAACATTTAAGATTTCCAAAGTGAATCTTTTCACCACGCCAGTAAGAGAACCTTTTGATTGGAAAGCGCAGCCAAGTAACAGACCGCCTGTCATAAAAGAAGAGAAGGTTGGGTCTGAAGAAATCGCCTGCAATTTGGATGCGTCCTGCCAAAGTTTTCTGGTAGGAAATTATAACACCCAATGACTTGAAAAAACACTTAAATGTCACTCAAGAAAGTATTGCGAAGACTTTTCAGCAAAAGCTTCGCCAGGCTTCATCAGGAGTGGGGGAAGAGGTTGGGAGTGGCAATGACCAACACCACTTAGCAACTCATTAAGAAAGGCCATAACAAGAAACTGCTACCTCAGACATAGGCGCAAGCACATACGCACACACAGACGCCATTTGGAAAAAAGTTCCTGCAGAAAAGACAAAAAGTCGCCACCAACAACTTCCATAGTAGGAACTGTCAGCTAACCAAAAGGATGAGGTGCGCATGGAAATAGTTTGAGGCGCGTGACCAGGTGAAGATGTCGTGGATGATGGAACACAAACCGGCAATTTTGTGGAAAATTCAATCCGATTGAAAATTCGGATATGGCGACGCTGGACAGTTAGCCGGAACGGAATGCCCCAGAAAAGCGGGGGAGGGAGAGTTCCGCTAGCTGACAGTCAAGAAAGTTTGTTTACACCTCAAAAAGAATCAACCCGACCGGCCGACCAACCAACATCCTGCCGACCAGCCGGTAGAATAAAGTCAGTATACCATAGTAGAGAGTAGAGAATGGTCAGAAGTATAGGCTGGACAACGCCTTGCTCGGTAAAAGGAGAGAAGTGAGCAGAAGCAAGTCAAGACAGACAGTGGGGGGCGGGACATGAGACACGTGGTAACACAGGTGGTGGAAATCCTGGTCAATCTCTCCAGC